TGCCAGCAATCATCACCCAGATAAGCAGAGATTAACACCAAGATTGACACTAGACAAACAATCAAGCAGTAAAGAATACCCTAATCAAGGAACTACCAAGAAAAAAAGAAAGAAACCCCCACCCCCACCAACACTGGCAGGGCATGCCACAGTATACAGTATAAACAGAGAGCAAACCCCATCCCATTCTAGCACTGAAGATGTTACCTAGCTGGGTAATGAAACATTTGCAAGAAAACAACCAAGCTCGGAGAACCCCCAAGGACTCCACAAAGAAGCTCTGGCAATCTCCCTCAAAATGTTTCAGCGTATATGTCATTGCTATCTCTCTTGGATGTGTGGAGATACAAAAATCCTACAGAGAGAGAGAATAACTATCTACTTCATAAAACTTATTCAAGGCTTGATCCATATTCAATTTCTAATTCACTGTTAACCAACCTCATAGATGTGAAGGCAGCAGATGCTACTTATGTGGATAATATCCCAATAGTCATAAGACTAAATAGAAGAACTCCAGATGGAATAGGTGAAGACCTAATGAACTATTATTATAAGAAGAAGTTATTAAATTGAAGTGTTGTCAGGGACTAAAGAGCTTCCTCCAAAACAATTTAACTGCTGATGTTTCCTTATTTATAAAATGGGATGCTAGTAAAGCATTTATAAGAAGGTTTGTTCATTTCTCTGGCATCAGATGGAAAGAAAATCATGCAAAAATAAAAGGACTGCATAAAGAACAGGATATTACTTCTATTTGAGATGGAACAAGCATGTTTTTACAATGAAAGAGATAATGCAACATAATCTGGTATACTAATGTGAATTAGTATACCAGATTATGTAGTAAATAGACAACAGAGCTTAAAGAAATTAAAGAATATTTAAATAATACATTACTTATAAAATGTATAGATCAACAAAAAAAGTTCTTAATCAACCTATAATTGAAGACGTGATTAAAGAAGAAATTTTAAAACTGGAACTGAGTAAAGTTCCAGGAGCTGGTGGCATTTCTACAATATACTATTAGACATTCCAAGAAAAGTTAAGTCAGGTAATGACTTTCATTAAAATGAACTTCAGGAATGTGAAGAGCTTCCTCCATCAAGGAAAGAAGACTTTAGCTCCTTGATTTATAAAGAAGGAAAAGATTTGACTCACCCAGTTATACAAATGTATTTCTTTACTGAATATAGATTATAAGCTTTTCATGGCAATATTTGCAAATGGAATAAACTTTTTTTTTAACCAAAATGATACATCCTGATCAGACTGGATTAGTTCTGAAGAGATACATGAGAGACAATATCAGGCATAGAGCATTCTGGCTGTTATTAAAAAATGAATTAAGAAAGCAAAAAAGTGGACATGAATTTTCTTAAAGCTGTTGACAATTTGGAATGGCCTTTCACACTTGTACTTTTGAAAAAAGATGAGCTGAAGCTCTAATTATTTTACTTGGATACATAATATTTATAAATATAGATGTAGACAGAGGTGGCCTTGAAGAAAATATGTGGCAGTTCTTAGAAGAACATGAACACAGACCAGGAAAACAGGAATGGGTAAGAAAGAAACTTAAACAGAAAGAATAACTCTTTCTGGTAGAAGAGGGAGGGAAGGAGAAATACCATCAGGCTTTCAAGATTTTGTTACTATAATCTCTATCAATAAAGTAGAATTATAGTATTATTTGTGATGTCAGTTTCCTGGTCTACTTCAAAGAGCTGG